CCAACCTCAACACGTCTGGAACAGGTTAGCAACTGCTGGCCGAGGTTGCACAAACCTCAGATGCTATCCCCCGTCTTTGTCTGTAGGCAGGTCCCTCTCAAAAGCTGGGTCACAGGGGGTGAATACACAAGTGTGTTAATGTAAAATTGCAGTTTGATAAAAACTACATCAGAGGCAAAGCCAAGAACCAAAGCAAACGGAGCTCAAAGACACTCACCAAGTCTGCAGCCGAGGTATAAAGCTTCTTCTGGAATTGTTTTCATCTGCACTTAAGGTTTTTCACTTTTACTGAGACGTACAAAACCCTAAATAACTTTATGGTCATGTCAGAACTTTCTTTTTCCATAAAAAGGAGCTGAAGAATGGGAGGAAGCAGGAGGACGTTGGAGGACGTGAGGTCAAAGGAAAGGGCCGAGCTGGAGGAAGAGGAAACCCAGGCAGCAGACAAGAGGCTCCATGGACACAGTGTGTCACAGCTGTCCACGCTGTGCAGCACCTCGCTAGTCATAAAACAACTAGTCAGTGCACAGAGAAGCTGACGGGTCGTTCTGCTTTCACTCTTTGACTGGACATTCACAGCTGAACCAGTGTGAACCGGGCCTTTGGTGCTGGCATGGACGGGCCGAGGTGGACCAGCCTCACGCTTTCACACTAACTACCTGTAGCTGATAGTAAACCCAGTACAGACCCGACTTGGTAACATTTAAAGACACACAACAGCGACAATTTTGCACATTTACTTGTGAAAACAAACAAAAAACTGTTACATCAATACATCATTGTGGTACAAAACTATAAATAAGCAATAAGCAAATGAACGGATTCAAAAACTGTTACAAACAAATAAAGAGTCTGAAATACAAACATCCAGCAGTTTGACATAAAATACATTAGTACAAAAAGTTCAGCACATTAAAAGATAAATTATATAGATTTGATCAACAAGCACTACAGTAAAGTGTTGTTTTCAGAATAAAAGCAGGAATTTAAATTTTACATCAAAAACATGTACCTCCATGTTATTTAAGGAAACCTACCTAATAAAAGCACAGGTTAATAATTTGTCATATGAAATATAAGTACACTGGACAAACTTCCTGATTTGTTGCTGCAGTTTTATGTCAAAATAGTTTGTGAGGAGTTGTGTGTAGCCACAGTTCTACCTGCAGACTTCAATAACTCTTTAACTGTCTTATAAAAATATCTTTTCCCTTCAATCATCCATGTACAGTTGATTAAATAGTAACATGGGTTTTCATATGCAGCTCTTAAGGGGTCTAAGTTTTTTTTAATCTTCAGTAGTGGGACTAAAAATTAAGGTTTACAAAATTGCAGATGTGTTTCCACTGGTATACCAACATGGGCCACAACTATTGTGGACATGCAGGCACAGCGTCCTACTACAAAGTGCTTTTACTTGGCTCTGTTTCATTCTTTGTGGTGGTTCACCTTGTTCGATACTGGCCGAGTTGGCCAACAAGGACCCACAAAGATTCAGGCTGTCCCAGTTGTCTAAACCAGCTTTCCCAGCAGGAAGGAGAGTGACGCTCCCAGAGCCAGACCCAGAACCAGGAAGAAGGTCATCAGAGAACCGGCCGTCTCACAGTCTTTAAACCGCACCAACCTGAAGGACAGACACGCTCGGTTATAACACGTCAACGGTGATGAACAGTAATCTGAACTCTGGTTGTTCATCTACATCATGTCTGGTTTTCTTGCTCCAGCTCAGATGAATCTGGACACAAATCAGAGGCACAGAGTAAAAGTTCGCAGGTCACCGTTGTCAGAGTCGCACAGGCAAAGCAGGTGAGGGCGAACAGGGGTCGCAACGGGAAAGCAGGTGGCAAGAGAAGCAACAAAGTCCAAAAAAACAAACAGGAAGTGGAAACAGGCAGACAACATAGGAAGCATGCAGCTGGAAGTGGACTGGTACATACACTGGGAGGCTAAATGGAAATGAGGAATGGATGGGTAGGTCAGTGGGGAGGTACTACCAGGTGACTGGAACTGTGGTGGGAAAGACTGGGAAGGGACAAGTTCATGGATTTGGCAAAGGCTGACAGAGAATGAACGGAAAAGTGAATGAAGTGACATTTTGTGTCCTTTAGAAACTGAGCTTTTAAAAAAACCAAGTAAATACATGTGGAAATGTTAGCCCTGTAAATGGGAAGCACCTTAAAAACACGTCTTTACTACCTTTGGTCCTCAGAACGATAGCTAACATCAACATGCTCACAGTGACAATGCTAACATACTGATGATTAGCAGGTTTACCTTTAGCCTGTTAGCATGCTAACACAGTTAACTAGAAAATCAACCAACCAATCAATCAATCATTGGTTGAGGCCGTTAGAAATGTTCTTAGTTTTGCATTTGATCAGAAACCAAAGTACTGGAGAAGTCTGGTTTTCAGGATTCATCTTCTGGAGACCATGAAAGCCTGTAATCCATGTCTGTCTATCTAACAGTTGTCAAGTTCTTTAATTCTGCACCAGCAGACCAACGCCGTCGTCCACACTGTGGCAAGAAACACAGAAACAGCCCAAAGCCAACAAAATCCATCTTCCTGTTGAAGACTCACTGCGGAGCGTAGGCCATGCAGAGGCTCGCCAAGTATCCGTTGGAGAAGGAGAACAGAGCGAGGATGGCGACGAAGGCGGCGTCGTGACTGAAGAGCACGGTGAGTTTGGAGTTCTCGACATTACACATCATGATCAGAGGGATGAAGATCAGGCGAGACAAGACGACAACAGGAAACAGACGGCTCTTCTTCGACGGCTGCAACATCAACACAGACATGTAGAGATAACGAAGTCACGACGAGCGGAAAGTGAAATGCCAACATAAACAGATCATCTACGTCTTTGTTAAAGCTGACACTTGATATTCTGAGCAGTGTGTGTTACAGGTCTGACTGTCCAGAAAAAGACCGAACAGCTGTTTGCAGCTCATCCCAGTTTCTAAACTCTCCTGGCAGCTGCAGTCACGTTGAGAGACACATAGATTCAACATGTAAGATGTTTGAAAGTGAAATTTAAGTTTATTACCTTCTAATCTAAATTCATTGCTTTAAAAAAGACTCTTCTAGATCTGCAGGAAGCCTGGCAGCAGACTCACCCACTGGCCGAGGGACGGGGCACTGCGGCCAGCCAAGTCCATGACGTTGAAAACGATGAAGCAGCAAACACAGGTGAACACTTTGTCTGTGGGAGACAGAGCAGGACTCATGTTTCACTGTTCTCCTGGGAATATTGGTTTTCCTCTTATTTTAAAACTTTTCTTTAAAAACAAAACCATTAATTTGGAAAAGCGGTGGACTAGTGTGTGTGTGTGTGTGTGTGTGTGTGAGGAGACGCACTGGACAGCACGTGGACTGTGGTTCTGCTTCATGTTTGCCTGAGGGTAAGCCTTTGCTCGTTTTTGTTATTATTGAAGCCCGTGCACGTGCCTACCTGTGTGTCTGTGTTTCTCCAAACTAAAACTACATTTCCCATCAGCATCTCACCCCAAGCCGCGTTGTCCTTGTAGACGGTCTGCACTCGGACCGTGATGACAGGAAACACCGACAGGGTGACGGTAAACACGGACGTCACACACAGAGCCATCAGCCAGATCTGTGGAGCACAGGACGGGTTAGTGACGGTAACAGGAAGTAGGACGTCTGAGCAGGTTACTGAAGGCCGTCCACACCACATCCGACGTCCCTCCCGGTGACTCAGACCTGATGTCTGGTCTTTTGGTCTGATGTCATTTCATTTAAATCTGTGGCAGAGCTCAGCGTGTTCACACCGGAGCCGGGTACACGACACAAACCCTTCAGAACCGAGACGTAGCCAGTCACCAAAACCCAGACACACTGTCACTAGTGTTTTGATGCTGACAGTGAATCACTGAGTAAATCATCAAATCCCATAACAGCAAGAAAAACAGGCCAAACACCAAAACTGTTTGTGTTGTTGTTAAAAGTGGGTGAAATGTTTATGGCTCATTAACTCTGACAGTTTTAATAATCAAGTGATACCTTCAATTAATTTGTGAAGTAAAACTGTTAAACACTCGCTGGTCTGAAGATTTGAGTCTTTTGGAGAATTCATGTGAAGAGAGATTATTTGTTGCTGCTCTTTGGAAGCTGAAGACAACGAGATCATTAGAAGATAAAACTTCTACTGTGCTGTTTGTCTCCACTATTAGAGGATGTCCCTATTACACCCTGTGTCTTCATCTCCACAGATGAACTAGAATCAGCTGAAACACACTGATACAACAGGACACCTGGTTTAAATGGACATGAAATGGCCTCCACCAGCTGAGGAGTCCTTCACCTGTTTGAACACGGCCAGGACAGACGACCGCTCCTGACTCTCCTCCGACTGGCCGATGAACATGCCGCTGGCCTCCAGGTCTTTGCTGTTCAGGAGCTTTTTGTCTTCAAAAAGGAAAAATACAAACATGTCGGTCACTTGGTTTATAACGTGGCCAGTCGAAAGCGCTCAGCCCCGACACACGTCGTGCTGCTGGACGAGACGCTGTAAGGACCAACCTGTGAGTTCCTGCTGCGCTTTGTCCGACTGACTCCTGTTCAGGTAGAAACGAGAGAACTCCTGCAGAGGAGAAACGAGATCATGAACTAATCTGACGACATCACCTGTTGATACTGGCTTCAGCTTCTTCTGTTGCGTTGTTTTTACTTTATCGTGTAAATTTAATTCCAAGCAGAAACATCTTTCCTTCACAACTTGTTAATGTTTTACCACTGGAGCCAGATGTTCGTTACAGTCAGCAGCATAACGAGCAGTGAAAGCAGTGGGGACATGTACATTTTAATAGGACAAGACTTTCCAAAAGACAAATTTAGGATTGAAAAGCGATTTGCACACCGTCAACCTCAGCCAGCAGTTGTCAACTTTTTCCAGAAGCTGGGTTATGTTTGAGTTCAGGGTAAGAACAGCCACATACAGTATCTAACCACAAAGCTGCTGAGGTGAACAACTGACAGTCTGCAGCCAGGCTCTCCTGCCAAAAACACAGAATCATCCAGTGAGACTGATCACTGGGAGAACTGGAAAGTGGACTTCGTTCTCTCTGATGGTTTCAGAAGCCCAGATCACTTTTTGGGTGTGGCCTCCTCACCAGGTGTGGCAGCAGCAGGTAGCAGAGCAGCGTGCCCAGAGTGGCCACACATGGAGTGATGAAGTATCCCAGCGCAGCCGAGCGTTTCTCTGCGTTACCTGCAGACCAACAGACACGTCAGCTTCATTTACAGCCACAGAAGAAGCCGTGGGCGACTTACACCATAGCAGTTACAAATCCAAGTGAGTTTCAGCAACGACTGGATGGAGACGTGGTTCAGACATTTGAATCACCGTCAGTCATAACTTTGGTGACTATATTGTGGCTTATAACCTGCAAAAATAATCACATTCCCATCAGCCTCAGCTGTACTTTAATTGGCAAACATCTGCTAACACAGTAAACCAGGATGTGAACATGCCAACGTGTTTCTGGGGAGTTTTCCTGATCCGACTCGAGGGGAGCCCCTTGAGGAAAAGTGGTCTGTGATATTGGGCTGTATGATCAAACTAAATTCCACTGTGCTGTCACACCTGTTCCCACACTGATCTGATCTGATCTGAAAGTCAAAGAAAACAAGCTTCCTTTGTCCACCTGTCTGAAGCGCTTTCACTATGTAACCAGGTACATCTCTATAATTAGGCAGGGTGTCCAATTAAATTTGCTTTGAGTGAAGTGTGTGTCTAGTGGTCAGTGCAGTGGCTGTTTGGAGCATCAGAACTTACTTAAGATGGAGCAGAGCATGGCGATGGCAGCGAAGATCCCGGCCAGAGCCTGACCGCTCATGAACAGGGTGCTGTAGCGAGGAGGAAACAGGCCGACCAGGCCGAACAGACTGCCCTGCAGCACTGCACCGCACGCTGCACACACAAATTAACGTTGGAACTATGACTGGTAGAGAAAATGAACGTGAACAGGAACAGCGGTA